CACGGACCCCCGTGGGGAAGGCTCTCCCCGCCTGCCCATAGGCATGTGAGATGCACTCACAGAGCCAGCCTGCCAGGCATTTCTTGGACAGAGCTTTACCGGCCACGCCACCGCCAAAGCACACAAACAGCTGTTCAGTGCGCCTAATGGCAGCCGTGTGCTCCACATAACATGCCAGCGCACGCACCGGGCAGAGGAGCTGCAATTTAGCCTCCCTGGCCCCAATATGGGGTGGAAGATTAAAGCCCCCTAACTGAATAGCTCTTGACCTGAACGAGCTCCTTAGGCTCTTGGGAACAAAGGAGGGGTTCGGTCTGAGTGTCGCCCCGCTACGGTCACCCCGGCTCAACAAGCAACGTGGGTGCACTGACAGAGCGGTCAGCTCCAACACTCTCCTGGCCGAAGTTAAGGCAAGTAGCAACGCTGTCTTCCATGACAGTGCTTTCAGGGAGGAGAGCTCCAGAGGCTCCAATGGTTCTGTGACCAGAGCCTCGAGCACCAGGGGCAGGTCCCACTGCGGGGCGGGGGCGTGCACTACTGGGCGCTGCCTCCTGACCCCTGCAAAAACCGCGACATAAGCAGCTCATGACTGAAGGCTGACCTGCCGCCAAATCCCTCATGGCAGGACGAGACGACTGCTGCATACACTTTAATTGTGGAATGAGCAAGCCCCCTGTCCACCAGTATCTGTAAGTAGAACAGAATAGAGCCCATCGTACAAGATAGGGGCTCCAGACTCCCCTCTACACACCATCGCTGGAATCCCAACCACTTCGTCCTGTAACAGGCTGTGGTGGATCCTGCTCTTGCTGCCTGGACAGTCTGAATAACTTTGTCAGACAGTCCCCCCTGTCTCAGCCTGTCCCTCTCGGGAGCCAAGCCTGGAGAGGTTGGCCCAGAGTGGGTAACGCCCCTATTGTACCTGCCTCCTGAGACATCGTCCCCCAGAACTGAGGAATCGCCCAGGGCTGGTCCACCATCATCTATGTCACCTCTGCGAACCACGGTGCCAAGCGACGACCTGGAGCCACTAGGATGACTGACAGACGTTCTCATCCCACCCTCTCCAGGAGGGGGAGAATGAGACGCAGCGGTGGAAAGGCGTAGCCACCACTTATAGCTCTCTCTAGGCAGGTCCCCCCCCATCCTGTCACGGATGCATCTGTGAACACCGTGACGTAGGAGGTCACCCGCCCCTCCGCAGATGCTTTGGGGACCCCCAGTATCGGAGGTTGGCCCCCACTGAGGGGGGGATGGTCACCAGACGTCGTTTGTGCCTCTTGGGATCTAAACGAAGGCCGGCAAACCACCTCTGCAGGCGACGCATATGCAGTAACCCCCGCGGTACCACGAGGTGAGCAGCCGCCATGAGACCCAGAGTCTGCATGATGGTCAAAGCTGTCACCGTTGCCCCCTGTCGCAGTCTGCAAACTGCCCGAAGCAGGGATGCCTGTCTTCCCTCTGACAGGGTGGCACGTAGTCTGCCTGCATCGAGCAAAATCCCCAGATACTCCACCTGCTGGTGCCTGATAGAGTCCAGTAGAGGATTCCACCTGCTGGTGAGGTATGGGACTGCTCTTCTTCCAATTGACCGCAAATCCCAACTTGGTTAGATGTAGGATCAATTGGGCTGTGTGGAACATTGCCCATTCCCTGGACCTGGCCATGACTATGAGGTCGTCCAGATAAAAGAAAACCCTCATGCCATGGTCGCGAAGCGGCTGAAGCGCTGTGGCCACACATTTGCTGAACGTGCGTGGGGATAGGGAGTAGCCGAACGGTAGTCTGTTGTACTCGTAGGCTATCCCCTGGAAGGCAAGACGCAAATACTTTCTGTGCTTTGGAGCAATTTCGACATGAAAGTAAGCGTCCTTCAGGTCGATGGTTGTGAACCATGTCCTGAGAGTGCACAACAGACACCGCCTGTGGAGGGACGCTGCAGAACTGGAGTGAGTAACCCAGTTTCAGTGTCCTGTCCATCCACTCTGTCAGTACACCGCTGAGCTTCCATTCCCCATAAAACTGTGTTAGGGGACATGCAAGCAGCTGTGGAGCAGCAGCTAAGAAGCTGTGGTACTCTCTGGTGGCCCACTCTGCCGCCAAACCTTCCATAAAAGGAAGTTTGGCCCATGGGGGGCTGACACAGAAAGGGACGAGCCTCTAGAAGTGGCGACTCCATGAAGGTACGATAACTTCTTTCTTCTTCTTTCAAACATTTTACTTTTCTCTGTCAGGTGTTGTCCTGCTCGCTGAAGAGAAAAGGATGACAGTCAGGAGGCGTAGCCGCATTATATACTGTGAGCCTGCGCGCACATTCAGGTAGGCTCACCCTGATTGGCCGGCTATGTTTATTCAACTTCAGTGTGTGAACGCTCACGTATCATTGATGAGAGCAGTACCCATAGAGTCCAGTAGAGGGCGGAGCCTGTGTGAGAGTACTTCTCCCACCTCTGCTTTCATCATTGGGAACAAAACTCCATCTCCTTCAAACATGTGTGAATAAATTCATAATAAACTTGGCTTTTTGTCACCTGATGTGAAACCATCTTCCAGAAATTCGAGAGAAACTTGCTAAGAACAAGAGTGGCTCAAGCGCTTTCATCATTGATCGTCCGGAGCCTGTAGTCCATTCTGAACCTTTAGTTTGTTACTTTATGCAGCTTCTGACAAATGAAAGATTCAGTCGGTGTTGTTTGTTTGAGCCGCAGGGCACAGACATCATTACAGAGAAGCTGGAGGACAAAGTTTATCAGAGTTAGTGGCTAATTAGTTTTTACAACAGGAAGGGGGAGGGAGCGCTGGATGGAGGACAAAGAGGAGAGGAACATTTATGTTTTTCCTTGACTCTTCTTATCACTTTTCTGAATTTATTCAAATTTTAAGTCACTAGCAGAATATTGATTAGTTTGTATGAACTCCTCCTTCAACTGTTTAAAAATCATGGCGTAAACAGACTGCTGAGTGTCCTATTTTTACACTTGTTCTCACAAAAGTAGATCAAAGCTGGAACTTCTTCACCACATCCACATCCACCTTTGTATTTCTGTATACATTGAATACATGTAATCTGATGTACTTACTGTGTCTGCTATGATCACATTATCTCTGCCTCAGAGGTTTTACCCACAATCATCTGGGACATTATTGTCGCTCTGCAAGGAAATTGTTTAAGATGGATTCATACGTGATACTCCCAGGAGTCATTTTTGAGACCGTAATGACATCACATATCTACAATCTCGCCAAAATACACTGAATCAAATCATGAGTGCAAGCTGTTTGACGTCCCCCCCCCCCTGACAATTCATAAAACAAACTATAAATGCTCAACAGGGACAACAAGTAAAGAAATGATCCAAGAAAAAAGCATTTGTTATCAGAGAGCATATTCTTCAAAAGAACAGTCATATTTCACTCGTGCCGCTGGTGGGGGTAAGAAATGAAGTCACGCAATGACGGCTAATGTATCAGACAGCAGTGTGTGTGTGTGTGTGTGTGTGTGTGTGTGTGTGTGTGTGAACCTGATGAGGATGTGTCACAGTCTGCTTCTTGCCCTGCCTGCTGAACCCCAGTCATTTTCCACTGACCCCGCCCCCCCTCACACCTTCAGCTAGCCCCTCCCATCTCATCAGCACACCTGGGCAAGCAAGTATATAAGCGTGGGTGTTTCTCAATCGCGAGTACGCTTGCTTGGTAGCACATGTCTGCCGAGCATCTTGCTTCAGAAGCGAGTCAAGAATACTTCCTGGCATCCGGAAAACGAAGAGTGGAACACGCTAGCAAGTGTGCAGGTGTGCGTCATATGAGAGGCCCCGCCTTACATCTTCCGCCACAGATTTGGGGAAATTGGTCCGTGCGCAAAGCATTGTGGGGATTTTAAGACCGCGGAGTCTACTCATGTGCAGCCTCGATATTTCTCCAAACGGAGTACGCCGGGCTCGGTAGATTTCCAAGTATGCTGGAGATTGGAACAGTACTTCGGCGGCGCTCGATGACGTAGTATGCTTGAAATAGTGGCTCTGAAGCAGCTTTACTCGCGATTGAGAAACACCCCCTGTCTGTCTTTCTACATCGTTCGACGCTTTGTGCAAGACTTTCCAGCACTGTTTCCCGGACTGAAGCCGCGGTCCATTTACATTGGAAGTAGGAGGTCGGAACTGGGAGTGAAGTCACATCCGAGTTGAATGTGTTCCAAGAGCACAAGTCAGAAAATAATGGCCGCCCGAGAAAGTTGTTTGCCTTGGTAACAGCTTTAGCAGTCACTTAATTTAGCCATTGTTAGCAATACCGGTTGATACTCTATATATAGTATTTTGTGAATACAAACATCATTGAAAAATATCCACGGATAGAAGAAGAGCAGTAGCATATGCACAGTTGATTTAATGTGACACAATAATACAGAAGAGCTAAAAATGTTATACAGTATTATCAAAGTGTTTTCTTAAAGGTGGGGTATGTCATTTATTTCAGAAACACTTTTTGTTATATTCCATGGAATGCTCTTAACATCCCGATAGCAATGAATATATTAAATGCTTTGACAATAAATACATAAAAAATGTCATCTGTGGAAGCCGTAGTACTGTAAAAAGTACGACCAATCATTTTAGCCGGCCCGGCTAAAATAACTGGATGGCCTACCTGCCTGTCAGCCTTCCATCTGTGCACAAACTTATCTCGTGCCCTCATTGGTCATGTGCGCGTTCGTGTGTGTTGGAGAGGCTCTGTAAGGAAGTGGCAGATTTTTTCCGGTTGTGTATTTTCAAATTCTAGCGCACTCGAGCTGGTTTCTCCAAAATTACCTACCCCAACTTTAATATTAGATATCTTAACAAATGCAGAGACTCCATCTTGAATGATGATCTCAGGTATGGCGAGGTATCTCTGAGTTTTCAAGTAGGAATTCCGACCTTGGTGCGTTCCAGTTGAAATTTCTGACACAACCCATTACAGTATAAGGGATACAAGCAAGTTTAAAAGTCAATAGAAAACACCGGTTGAGTATTAGGAAACAAACTTTTATTTAAAAAAGAAACATAAATAAACCTACAGGAGTTAAGAGATGAAAGAAACAAGACCCTACACTTGAAGAAAATTGCATAATTAAGATCTGCTTCCAGTCAATAATAACCATTTCAAATGTTAAGAGTTCCTTGTGTTTCCTGGCTAAACTGACTCAATGTGCTAAAGACACACCATCAATAATCACTTCAATGGATCATAACCGTTGAACAGTTTTCCTTCAAACTCAACACATTCAGACACATTTATTGAACTGAAAGAGACAGTGACTCGTGTGCGTGCAGTAGTGAATGTTAGTCATGGCTTTGATCAAAAGAAAAAGGTTTGCCACAACATTAAAAATGTTTTTCATCACTCCAGAGCATTCTCAAGATAACTATAGCTTAAAGTTCTACCGTTTCGCCAACAAGTAAATTCAAAATACTTGTACATTTGTTTCGAACATGTAGAGATTTACAATAACATTCCCACGACCATCATCAGCCAAAAAGAAAGAGTTAATGATCAAATGAAAGAGGATTTACAGCAGGGTCCAAACTAAAAGAGGCTCAGGTTGACCATCACTGGCGTTAGCTAGGACATCAAGTTTAAAGTCAAAGTCCTCTGAAATAATTACTGGAGAGATAAATCATAAATCTGTACCGTTATGCGTTTAAACAGCAGGATTACCTACAACATTATCAGAACCTTTGGAGATGAACACCTGGGTTAAAAATACTTGAATTCTGTTCAATCCAAACTCTCATGTGTCAGTTAACAGTCCAGCCAATACTGCAGTTTGCACACAGGGAACAGTGCAATACGGGCACTTCCTTTAAATGATCACACACATATCAACGAGTCCGGAGAGTTTTCAGGTCCTTCCTTAGGGTGCCTCCAGCCTGTTAGTGTTTGTTTCCATCGTGACATGAGGGAGGTGAGGGAAAGAACAATTCGTACTTGTTGGTTTTGTTTGTGTGAAAATATGTGTTCATGTCCATGCGCACACAAATGCACTGGGTATGTCTGTCTGGAGGGGGGAGGAGGCTGGATGTGTATGTGTCAGTGTGTGTGTGTGAGTCTCAGGAGATGGTGGAGAACTCTTTAAGCAGGACGTCCTGACTCAGCGTGTTCAGAGAGACGTTCTTCCTCACATTCAGACTGATGGAGCGCACCTGGAGACAGACAGAGAAGGACATTCAAAGTCAAACGGATAACAAACTGTGGGCCTTGCACTTTGATGTTGACTTCAATTCAACTCTAGAGTTTCTCAACCTGTGCTGTTTCTTTATATTTGTCTCAAGTCTTCCAACTGCAATCAAATCAGAGGAACACCCCTTTAAAGGGGCCCTAATTCTCATTTTCAGGGTTATATTTGGATTTAGTGCTGTGACACTTCTCCATGCTTTAATGTTCAAAAAGCTCTTTGTTTTTCTCATACTGCCTGTGCTGCAGCACCTCTTTTCACCCTCTGTCTGAAACCAGAGCCCAGTCTGCTCTGATTGGTTAACTGGCCGGTTCTGTTTTGATTGGTCAACAGCTTAGAGATGTCCCGCCCCTTAGCCTATCACGTACAATGTGTTGTAGCGCTAGCCAATAGAAGTGCAAGTGTTACGTAGTGATGCCCCCCCTCTGGAGGGAAAACAGGGATTTTAGTCTTTGCAGACCATTTACATGCACAAAAACACACACAGGATATGGAAAGAAAATAAGCTTAATAGGGCATCTTTAAAATCTTCCTCAAGCTTCCTCATCATTGAAATTGTATATGAAGTGACATCCCCACAGAGCCTGAATCTCAGAAGACTACATTAAACTCCTCATCACCCACAATACATTGCTCTTCGTCTCTTACCAGCTCCTTGAAGAAGGCGGCCTCTTTGGGCTGCTCCGAGTATCTCTCAAACTGGTCTAAACCATCCTGCAGTTTGAGCGTCAGTGTGTCGTAGTTGGACCGAACCACCTCCAACACCTAGCAGAGGAACAGAATGGAAACAGAAGACGACTGTGTTACATCACACCATAATACAGGGAGGTTAATGCATCGCACAGTGAACACTGAATTGTCACCAAGCAGTCAAATATTTATTTGTGCTTAATACTTCATTACAACATCTTTATTCATGAGTGATCTATCTTTTCCTATCCACGTTATTTCCACGTAACTGCCTACCATCAGGGTCAACTCTTATCAGGGATATGGTCGTTTGGAAACAAGGACAAATTAGCATTAGACTGATTAAAAAAAAGTCAGTCAACCTTCTATTAAATGGTTTAGTCCAATTTCTCCACAAAACTACGCACTAAATGTTTATATCCGTGAGGTTTGTATAACAATGTTTGTTTTAAAATGTTTTTTTTCTTCAGATGAGCTGAATGGTTCTGAATCTGTAACAAAAATGAGAGTGTGTGTTTTCTTACCAATGAGATTTAGTAAGACTTCACAATCAGAGCATTTTCGCCTGGGTAAGCACTCAATAGTTCACAGAAAGCATAACAGAGCATAACGCATATGTGTGTTTGAGTGTATACAGTGTGTGTGCAGTATGTGCGTGAACACACATGCCTCAAAGTCCAGCTGAGATAAGGTGAGCTGAAATCAGAGGTAATTATTCAGAGATTCTCCACACTCCCTCCCCTGCCATCCTCTCATTCAACCGTGAAATAGCCCCCAAGCAGACCTCCACACACACACACACACACACACACACACACACACACACACACACACACACACACACACACACACACACACACACACACACACACACACACACACACACACACACACACACACACACACACACACACACACACACACACACACACACACACACACACACACACACACACACACACACACACACACACACACACACACACACACACACACACACACACACACACACACACACACACACACACACACACACACACACACACACACACACACACACACACACACACACACACACACACACACACACACACATTAAGGCTTTTTTTCTCCTCAACTGGTGGTGAATGTATGGAGGGGAGGAAGGCGTGAGCCATGACCAACTTGTAAGTAGCACAAAAAATATGAAAGTGGAAAAACTGGAGAAGAGCGACTTTCTGCATCCCTAAGCAGATATGGTTGTGTGCATGCTTTTTATCCTGCAGTGTGTGAACAGAAGCAGCATGTGTGTGTGAAGTGACTTGTATGTGAGAGACAGAGACAGCTGACTGTTGTAACGCTGTGTGTTTCTGGAGGCCATCCATCTTCTACTGTCACTGGGGGGAGTGAAGTCGCTGCAGGCAGTTCAGCTGTGTCTGTGAGAGTGTGTGTCGAGGACTGTATGTCACAAGAAAATACAAGGAACTTAATTTAAGTTACATAAGAGCATTTTCTAAAGATGTAAGTGTTGTAAATGTCCCTCAAATGGACCAAAGTTCAACACATATTCACCTCCATCCCACCCACTAAAACATGTTTAAGTGTCTGACACTGGTTACATTAACTTCACTTACCCTAATGTTCATCAATAAGATGCAAGATAGGTTGTTTTTGAATGAAATCCTATGAGTATATACCTTTTGTTTTCATTTTCTTTGAGCATTATTTTGTTTGGGCTGAGGCTAAATTTAAATTGTCTTGTGTTCAGTTGAAAGCTTTCAATGTGCTTCACTCAACTCTCTCCTGCCTCTTCGTGAAAACACACAGGCTAATTGCTCTCATAGCATCGTTTTTGGATGCAGTCAGCAGCTGTTTTCAGAAAAGGAATCTCTAAAGACCCATTCTCCTCTAAGTGCACAACAGCAAACAGCAAACAGTTGTCACAAACACATCTCAAAATGAATGATATTGTTGCTCTGTATCTGCAGGATGTGTTAATAAGCAACTGGCTAGAAGTTCAACTTCCTTAAAAGGTAACTGTTGGAGCCAATTTGGGTGTTTTCATTTCTGACAGTTATTTGGGTATTTGCACGTCTTGCAAAATGTCTTTACTTGTTCAAATTCTTTTTTGAGTCGTATTTGTTAACACAGGCATACAACATCTGTACAGTATAAGCATAAAATGAGGCTCAACGAGGACAAGAACACTGATCAAAATAACAAATGCTCAAGAAAAAAGTGACTTTATCTAATGATAGGGGTGTTAATATCACAAGCAAGAAATCATATATTAATCCAGCAGTTGCTCTTAGAGACCAGAGTTAACTGCTGCCTTCCTTCTTTGTTGTGAATAAATCTCACAGATAAAAGCAGAGGTAATTGGAGAGCATAATGACCAAATCCATCACTCTCTTATCAGCTTGTAAAAAAGGACTCTTCTGGCTCTTTTCCTACCCTTACCAATTTGACATAAATGATAACGCCTGAAGTGAAGCTCACAACGGTCATATCAGCTCCCTTACAGACTCAAGTGTTCCCACTGTCGATGAAAGAATAACTCGGGGAAAATTGAGTCATTAAAAAAGCTGGACGCTTTGTTGATGAGTTTGCAAAACCAGTGCTACAGATATAAGAGTCACTACAACTGGACTATATTTATGCTTATGTAAAACTGTTTAAAACTATCAAAATACGTTTATTGTCATAGGAGAAAACTATTAGGTTGCATTTCAGTGTTACAGACAGTTTTTTGTTTTGAGGAAAAGTCCTGTTATTGTCATCTGTAGTTAAGGGACTATTAAAGACTACAATTCCCAAGATGCCAGCCTTTAAGACACAGTTGAGACTAAATACAAATATATGAAAAACAACATAATACAAAGAAGGTCTAAGTTTGTTTATCATTTTTATTTGAGTTTTGCCTCTTGATTTGTTTGAGTTTTGTAAAGGCCTATTTTCTATGCTGAACGTTTGTGAAAATAATTGTATTTTGAATAACAATGAGTCGCATAACTTCAACACATCATCAGAAGCCAAACAATGGGGAAAACAAATAAATTAAAAGATAACGCGTTAAAAATATCTGTCTTAAAGGCATCTAAGTGGCTTATGGGAAGAAAGGAAAGAAGCCTCACTCAGTGTGTATGTCACCGTCTGTAGTGCACAGTGTTGAAGGTTTCATATTGATGAGAACAGGTTCCTCCCACCTGTCTGAAGTGTGTGCAGTGAATCAGCCCCGCTGATGAGCGGCTCCTCTCCGTGTCTCATCACAATGAGCCATGTGTGATTCATCCATCTCTGCCACATAACTGTTACTACTCCATGATGAATAGGCATTCTTTCAAAAAGAAATGCCATGAACGCCTCTCAAGCACTTCAAAGCACTGAGCGTTTACCATTGTGTGCTAAAAAAATCATAGGATTTACTTTTGAAATGACAGCAGTGAGGTTTCCGTGGCGTTCTGCCAAAACGTCCCCAGAGATGATGCCTATTTTATTTTTTTACATGGAACTTTTTGTTAAAGTATAAAAAGGAGAAAAAGTGTGTTATGTTCACCTGTTCTTCTGAGAGCTGGGAGATGTGGTTCACAGAAGCGTACGACTCAATCTTGGGATTAAAATGGTTTACGATGGCCCTGAAAGACAAGATTAAGCAACATGAAGATTTTCCCCAAGTCCAATGATTTAAACTAAATAACCAACGTGTATACCTACACACGATTATTAAAAATCTTGTTAACATAATAATAAAAATAACATAATGTTTGAAGGTAAGAAGATAAGCATTTGGAAATGTTTTGAGGAGGCCATATTTAGCTAATTTTCAGGTTCTTATTTGTATTTTGTGTCTCTACTGTGACATGTCTCCATGATTTAATGATACAAAAAGTCTCTATTCTTCTCATACAGCCTGTGCTGCAGCACCTCTTTTCACCCTCTGTCTGAAACCAGAGCCCAGTCTGCTCTGATTGGTTAGCTGGCCGGCTCTGTTGAGATTGGTCAACCGCTGAGAGCTGTCCAACCCCTTAGCCTATCACATACAACGTGTTGGAGCGCTAGCCAATAGAAGCGCGGATGTTACGTAGTGATGTCATAATGTTACAGGAGTAAAGAGAGGAGTCCAATGGAGGCGTTTCAGGTATGGGGGGAGTGTGTGGGAGAGAAACTCCCTTCAGAGGGAACTCTGGGATGTTAGCCTTTTACAGGCCATTTAAATGCACACAAATCGATATAGTATTCTACAGGAGAGGGCAAATTATTCAGTCGTTTTCAATTTCTTCTCAATGCCATCATTTCGTTTGAGCACACAAGGGAATGTCACATGTAAATTCAAAGGCAATCTTTTACGGCAGCAGCATCATCAATTCAAATATATATACTGCTTTATATTCAAATATAAGTTAATGCCGTAAGCACAGCTGTGAGATGAAATGGCTTATTTGGTACTGGCTTAGACGAGTCATATATCAAATAAATTATAGTAAGGAAAATGCAGAGAATTCTCCATCGTGGTAATCCTATGTCATTAACGTATGAGCCAGCGTATGGAGGAATGAGCTGGTGGGAGTATAATGGGATTGGTCCACACACATTTCATATTTCTGTAGGTTCTATATTCCTCTCTGATTCACCTATTCATCTTTTCTTCCACATATTATTATTAAAAAATAGTTTTCCTCCCCGCCTTCCTGTGTTGCCTTCCTTACTCAGGCAACACAGACCAGCTGAGAGCGTGATTCCTCTGGGAGTATCCCGCTCGTACAGGGGCCCTCAGGGGCCTTCAAGCCAGGGTGACCTTAGAGGATCTTCTCCTCAGAGAAGATGGAGGGGGGAAATGAGAGAAAGGCTTAAAAATGACTGAATAGGGCGGCCTGGGGGAGGGAAAGTAATAGACTGGGGATGAAGGACGTAAATTACAGTTCTTAAAGGTCCCATGTCATGGCCATTTCTACTGATCATAATTCCATTGTTGAGGTCTACTAGAATAGATTTACATTGTTCAATGTTCCAAACTCACATTGGTTTCTCATACAGCATCTCTGTATAGTATGTGTATTCACTCCCTGTCCTACACGCCTTGTTGGAGCTCCTGCCCCCCCCTCCCTGTGAGCCCGGTGTGCTCTGATTGGTCAGCTCGCTGCTGCGAGGAGCTGACAGTGTGAGCTGGCTTACTGGTGTGGTTTCCTGCTTGCTGCGAGACAGCGAGACATCGCGAATGGACACGGGAAGGGGGGGGGGGGTGCTGAGGGGCCCCATCTGCGAGGCTCCACTAGTGTTAGAGTTTTACTTGCTACAGGGTGTACTTTGATGGTTTGTGACTCTGCAGATCTCTAAAAACCTTCATAACACACAAGGGGACGGGTAATAACCGGAAAAGCATGACATGGGACCTTTAAAGACTTAACTTAATTCACTTTATTTGAGCTTTCTTAAATCACATCCTTGTTTTAAATTCCCTTTAATCAAAATATATTTCTCCTTCTTGGGGAGAACAATTTCCCAATTTGGGATCAATAAAGTACTATCTATCTATCTATCTATCTATAGCATTTGTGTGCCGAGTGTGTTTTTACCGAACGTTGACAAGGGCATGCGTGACTTTGCTGGCTGGCTCTTTCCACTGGCCCGTGTTGGTTGATACTCTCAGAACTAGAAGGCAGAGAAGGACATAAACACAAAGTTAGATACACATATGATGTCAAAATTACGCACATTTACTTTCCTCTGTGGATAAAGGAAGGGCTTGGAAGTTTTGCTGTCGAGAAACTCCCCGTGGAGGGAACTTTGGGATTTTAGCCTTTGCTGACCATTTACATGCACACAAACCTATATAACACACTATATGAAAGGGAAAACCCCAAAGAGCTCCTTTAAAATTGTATTTTTAGCCTATTATATTTGTGATAGCTTTTATTTGAGACTCTGACATTATTTGAATAATAGCTTTTGTAGGGGAAGTACAATCGCTCGGGTTAAACACTGCCATTTTATTTCTCAATTATTTAAAACATGGGACTATTACATAAAGCAGTATATGTAAAAAAAGACAGGCTTAGAGTTTCTATATGTTGTTGTGTGTCTTAGTAATGTATTATCTATCTTTTTGTGAGTAAGTAAGTGTTACGGATATGATTTGATGTTTTTTTTCTGTAAATTGTTAAAGATAGGAATTGTGACCCCGGGATCAGTAACTGTATTGAAACAGTAGCTAATGGGGATCTAAATGTATAAATAAGTCAACATACCCATACAGTAGAGGTTGTCGAACACCTGGTGCATTCGTACGATTTCATAGTACAGCTCGTCGTAGCTGTTGGAGGTGGGCAGGAACGTGTCGCCGTACGTTATAAACATGTTGAACAGGTTCACCACCTGATGAGGGGACACACATTAGATGACGGACAATATTCATTTTCAAAGGAACCAAAAAAAAAGTTATACAATTCATATTGCATCAGTTTTTGCACAGACAGCCTGTTAGTCTCTTTCCTCGTCGGACACACACACAAAAAAGGAGTTCCGACACGCATCCTTGTGGAACTCATTTCCACTGTGTACTGTCTGCATGTTTTGTGTGGTGTGTGGTGTGTGGTGTGTGGTGTGTGGTGTGTGTAGTGTGTGTGTGTGTGTGTGTGTGTGTGTTTCTCACCAGTAAAGCCAGATGGAAGATGTTGTGCTTGGCCAGCAGCGTCGTCTCATTGGACAGGAGGAACTTCAGCAGGTTGATGAGCGCTGTGCAGAGGGACACATGCACACATTAATGAGATACATGTGATTGTTGTCTGCTAGCAGAGGCATCTGGCAACAGTCTGCTTTCCTCAGTGAGCTTCTTTATTAAAGCAGATCATCGAAACACAGGAGAGAGAGAACAATTTCAACACCAAATAAAGTCCTTTCAGAAGTTTAAAAAGTGGGAGAAACAGAGCAATGAGAAGAAACTGGCTAAAGAAGATAATCACATATATTGCTTTAATTCAGCTTTTACTCCAGCATTATATTTATATTGCCAGCAGGGAGAGAGGGTCAGTGTCACTCAGGGAATTAAGCTGATGATTGGTCTGATTAGAGCAATCTGTATTCTAATGAGACACAGTGAGAGGGGGCTATTATAAACTGAAATGTTATCCTATTGTGTGTTGTTGACCAGGCTTAACGCTAGGCCAACAGGATGGATGGTGCTTCTTCAGAGACTCATTATCCAATCTCAATGATGCAATACATTTCTAAAAACAACAGAACCAATTACTTCAGGGGAAATTGCAAAAAGCATCAACTATTTACTCAACTCTTAAGGTGGTCCCCAGCAAAACAAAACATTATTTTATTACTAAAACATAATCTCTGAGAAAAATGACAAAGAATTTGCAGCCAAAATCAATTAAGTTTGACCTTTTAGGAGGAATTCAGCAGTTTTTATCCTGCGTAGTATAGTATTTGCCAAGAATGGCGGACTCAAAATTATTTTTTATGAAACAAAGTTGAAATGATTGAAACTAGTGATAAAACTAGCCATAAAAAAAACCCTCATAATCCTTACATTATTCTGGTGATAATCAAAAGTGATTACTGTTCATTCTGAGAGTGACATGATGATTGTCTATAACACATTTCACCAGCTGGAGCTGTTAAAGGAGCCCTTTTATGCTCATGTTCAGGTTTCAAATGTGTATGTAGTGTCTCTACTGTGACATGTTTACATGCTTTATTAATGTTCAAAAAGCTCTTTATTTTTCTCATACTGCCTGTGCTGCATCACCTCTTTTCACCCTCTGTCTGAAACCAGAGCCCAGTCTGCTCTGATTTGTTAGCTGGCTGACTCTGTTGTGATTGGTCAACCGGTTAGAGATGTCCCACCCCTTAGCCCTTATACAATGTGTTGGAGCACTAGCCAATAGAAGCGTGAGTTCCTTGTTATGTGAATGAAGTTGAGAGAGAAAGCGGGGCGTCTTTACCTGACCAGAGCTCTCTCCAGGTGTAGTGTAATCGGATTCTGCACTTCTTCTGATAGCACAGGAGTTTGTGGATGATCTGCACACAGCGCCTGCACAGGAAATAAACACATTGCTGTGATGGCGTTGTTTTGTGGGTGAGATTTTGGAGTAATATGTGTGTGATATGTGTGTGTGTCCTCACAAGTATAAATCCATTGGGAAATCCTTCATCATATGAGTGACAATAAACTCCACCATCAGATCTAGAGAAAGATGGAGAAAATGAATCCCTGTTTGAAGAATCTTGCAATAATGCAACATCCAGTGAAAGAATGCCTTAAAAATATAAAAGAATCAGAGGTATCTGCTTGAAAACAACAGGTTTGAATGTTTCCCATACCTAGAACTGCACACACCAGCGGGCGTGAAGGGATGTTCTTGTCCACTGCTTTTTTTCTGTGCCTCATCGGCTGGAAAACAAATATACAGAATTAAAATATAGAATATAGGTATGTAAATGCTCATATGAGCTCATATATAAGATGAATACCAGCATTCTACAATTCAATTTTAATAACAAATATTGTACAAGACATCTTTAATATGTAGCATATATCTGGCTTAATGCGCAATCTTTTCCCTTTTTGTAGAGACGTGTCACTACAAAAAGGGAAACATAATTAAGTATCATTTTCTTCATCAGGTAGTGGGCTTACGTGGAGTTAAATAACCGAGGTAAAGTCGGCTTTCTCCATTAAGCCTATTTCATAACACCATTTAGACGAGAAACTTTGTTTGGGGTAAGAGAAATATGATTTCCCAATCTAGTTTTACATCAAGAAAGCTGATTTCTCTCAGATGAATACAAATATGAATCTGCGTGACAAACAGGGAATCAGGGAATGTATCATCTGAGAGGTGGATGAAAGGAGGGACAATAAGTATCGATGCATTTATTTACTGAAAATAACTACATTCAAAGTCTGAATAAAGCAACACAAAGTATCCCCTCAAAATGTAAATCAATTAGTGTATTATTTGACTATGAACCCACTCACTTACAGCCCACACTCACCATTCTGTGGAGATTGACTCTGAAGTTCATGTTGTCATCATGAAGAAAGGCATCAGCGTACTGATCCTGTGGCACACAGAGGAGAGGTCAGAACAGAGACAATCTGTGGGGGGGGGGGGGGATGTTGCACATAATGTTGCCTTTCCTACCTCGGCTATGCAGGTGAGGATGATGAGGCACAGTCTGGCACTGTTGAGTCGATGCTCATCTGGAAACACAAACATGAGACTCTTAACAGGTAGAAAGAAAACAGAGGGCCAGGTAGTTGTTTCCTTGAATGTTATAGGTGGGATAACAAATTGTGGTTTGGCAGAGAACAGCATTTATTTATCACTTCTATGTAAGGCATCTACGTGAGGACGGGTCAGGACAGAGGTGGAGAATATACAGTGAAAGAATGACAAATTATATCAAGGTAAAGTGACAGAGACAGAGAGGAGGAGGAGGAGGAGGAGGACATGATGTTTACCTTTAGTGTCCTGCATTACAATGGAGGCGTACTTGAGGAAGGTGATGAGAAGGTTGCTGGTCTGCAGGTTGGGATCCAGAGGCAGCTCTGGGTTGTTCATCACTACAGAGGAAGATACAATCCCATTATTAAAACTCTCTTAATATTAGGGAGAAAAAGGACAGATATAACAGAAAAAATGTAACTAATAATAATGAATCAAACTTTAATTGTGCAGTCAGCAATTCCATAAATAATGACCTCCCAAATACATGAGCTGGAACGCAAACCCTACCGTCTACAAACTGGAATAAATAAGAATCTGTCGCCCTTGTTTGGGCAGATGGAGGGCTCATTCAGGCAGATAAAACAATACAAAAATTGATGTCTTTGTCTCATTACCGTGGCTAATGTAGCATGGCGCGTTGTACAGACAAGCGTTTTTATCCATTTAAAATCTCTGCTTGTTTCATGGATAAATGATGAGCCCTCACTAATATCTTTTCGCCACAAATCCCCTCATTTGATATTTCTTCCCCACGCCACAGGAAGATTTAACACTGTCAAACACACACATCATCACATGGGGCCGTACTGTGGTAGAAAAAGGTGATATGTGATTGCTGGCATAAGTGTGTGTGTGAATGTTTCTGGTCGGAGCGGAGGATCCTCTAAGTGCTGACGCTCCCATGACATGTTCCAATGCACGCTGCATGTGAAACATTCATCTGTATTTCAAGCTGTAGTTTAATATTTCATACAGAAAATAGCTCTTAGGTTCGAGGTTCGAGGCGATGGAGGGAGAGCCAGCCAGAGATAGAAAAACATGAACCTTTTAACAGTTACAGCGTGTGTGCATGCTGAATGACCTGCTTCTCCAATGTGATGGCTATAATATGAAGTGAAGTGACAGCCATGCGCTCAAGTTTAAAGAGATGATAATAATAAGTATGGAGGCTCGGGTGTTGGAGTTATCTGATTATTAAAATGCAATCAAACCAAATTAGAAGCTAAATGTATTATGTTTGAGCATCTTTCTACTTTTGGATAACCTTAAAAAATATATTGAATATTTGACAAGGCTTGTGCCTTGAGATCTGATGGGATGCCAAATAGCTTTAGAAATCCTTCAATCCATTTCAAAGTCAAACACAAGAAAAACGTAGCCAGTGGTCGGAATCACCGATGAGTATCCAGGTCTCCAGACTTTGTACCAATTTGTAGATCAGTCACCGTTTTGTGTTCTGTTTATTAATGCTAACATCCAACCCCCTAGGTGCAACCACAGTTTTGGTTCACAGTCCCAGGTTTCCCCACTTCCCGTAATTATTAAAAGGGACCCTATGCTTTTCGCAGTTTTCCCTTTCCTGTAGGGTTTTTGTGCATGTAAATGGTTTGCAAAGGCTCAAATCGGGGGGTTACGTATTGTAACCCTAGTTCTATAAGCACAGGCTCCGCCCTCTACTGGACTCTATGGGTACTACTCTCATCAATGATACGCGAGCGTTCACACACTGAAGTTGTATAAACGTAGCCAGCCAATCAGGGCGAGCATACCTGAATGCACGCGCATATAAGGCAGCTACACCTGCTGACTGTCATCCTACACCCTCTTCAGCGAGCGGCATAGGAAAGACAGGGCCCCTAGGTAGAGGGCTCCGCCTGTGCTTATAGAACTAGGGTTACAATACGTAAACCCCCGTTCTATCTCACACAGGCTCCGCCCTCTACTGGACTCTATGGGTACAGTGGGTGGAGCCCCGATGGATAAACGCCCTGTCGTCCTACAACATCGATCCGCCACACTGCCCCTGACCGGCCTTTGGTTAACAGCCACCGCACCCCAACTTCCCATCATCCGGTTGTGACCGTGGAGAAGTCGTGGCCGCAGCTTACTTGGCTGGGTAGAGCGTAACTGGTCTGAATAACCCCATAGCTCCACCCTGCAGGTGCCAGCGCAAGTGACTATACACTGCGCACTACGTTTCCCAGGTCCCTAAGGAGCATGGGGAGAACGTAAGTGCACCATGTCCCCCACACTCACACACGCTTACCTCGTGTAGAGTGTGCATGGACTGTAGTGGGGCTTACTGAGCACCATGTTTCCCGGGTCCCTAAGGAGCATGGGAAAACATAAGTGCATTATGTCCAGGGGGGGTCAGATACAGCCTACTGACCCACAGCCCCCCCCCCCTTCACCAGTCCTGTGTTGCCCCAGCAAGTAGAGATGATGAAAAGGAGCCAAGAGATAAAACCTTATGAAGGGGCCTGGCGTAGACCAAGACGCCGCCGTGAATATGTCCTCCACACTCACGCCGTTGAACAAGGCTGTTGATACAGCCATACCACGTGTAGAGTGTGCACGGACCCCAGTGGGGAAGGCTCTCCCCGCCTGCCCATAGGCATGTGAAATGCACTCGCAGAGCCATCCTGTCAGGCGTTTCTTGGACAGAGCTTTACCGGCCACACCATCCCCAAAGCACACAAACAGCTGTTCAGTGCGCCTAATGGAAGCCGTGAGCCCTACATAACATGACAGCGCACAAACTGGGCAGAGGAGGTGCAATTTAGCCTCCCTGTCCCCAATATGGGGTGGAAGACTAAAGCCGTCTAACTGTATAGCCCTCGACCTGAACAAACTCCTTAGGTTCTTGGGAACAAAGGAGGGGTTCGGTCTGAGTGTCGCCCCGCTACGGTCACCCCGAATCAAAAGGCAACTCGGGTGCACCGACAGAGCGGCAGCTCGCACACTCTCTTGGCCGAAGTCAAGGCAAGCAGCAAAGCTGTTTTCAATGATAGCGCATTCAGGGAGGAGAGCTCCAGAGGCTCAAATGGTTCTGTGACCAAAGCCTCGAGCACCAACGGCAGATCCCATTTCGGGGTGGAGACATGCACCACTGGGCGCTGTCTCCTGACCCCTTGCAAAAAACACGCCATAAGCGGTTGACTAAAGGCTGACCTGCCGCCAAATCACTCATGGCAGGACGAGATGGCTGCTGCATACACCTTAACTGTGGAATAAGCAAGCCCCCTGTCCACCAGTATCTGTAAATAGGACAGAATAGAGTCCAACGTACAGGATAGAAGCTCTAGACTCCTTTCTTCACACCACCGCTGGAATCCCAACCACTTCGCCCTGTAACAGGCTGTGGTGGGTCCTGCTCTTGCTGCCTGGATAGTCTGAATAACCTTGTCAGACAGTCCACCCCGTGGACTCTCCACCTGGAGAGGTTGGCCCAGAGTGGGTAACGCCCCCATTGCACCTGCTTCCTGAGACAACGGCCCCCAGACCTGAGGAACCGTCCAGGGCTGGCCCACCATCATCTGTGTCACCTTCGCGTACCACGGCGCCGAGCGGCAACCTGGGGCTACCAGGATGACTGACAATCGTTCTCGTCTCACCCTCTACAGGAGGGGGAGAATGAGACGCAGCGGTGGAAAGGCGAAGAGCAGCTTTCTTGGCCATGGCTCGTGTGCAAACACGTCCACCCCCAAGGGTGGATTGTCCTGCCGAGCTAGGGAAAACCATAGGGTACAGTGGCTGTTGCGCTGGTTGGCGAACAGGTCCACCTACGCTTTCCCGAACTGGGCCTAGATCTGCTTCACCACCTCCGGGTGAAGCATCCATTCGTCTGGCAGGGGCCAGCCTCTTGACATGAGGTCGGCCCCCCCTGTTCTCCAGCCCCGGGATGTGGAGGGCCTTCAGAGATAACACATTCTCTGAGGCCCACAACCACAGGTTCTCCGCTGTGCTCAACAAGGCGCCAGAGCGGACTCCGCCCTGCCTGTTGATGTACACCACTGTGGTGCGGTTGTTGCTCCTCACCAGCACATGTTTGCCCTGTAGTAAGGGTTTAAAGTGCTGTAGGACCAGCACTACTGCCCGCACCTCTAGAAGGTTGATGTGCTGAGTCTCTGTCAGAGGCCAGCCACCACGTATAGCTCTCTCTGGGCAGGTCCCCCCCCCCCCATCCTGTCACGGATGCATCTGTGAACACCGTGATGAAGGAGGTCACCCGCCCCAGTGGAGTTCCCCTCCGCAGATGCTTTGGGGACCACCAGTATCGGAGGTTGCCCTCCACTGAGAGGGGGATGGTCACCACACGAAGGCCGGCAAACCACCTCTGCAGGCGACGCATATGCAGTAACCCCAGCGGTACCACGAGGTGAGCAGCCGCCATGAGACCCAGAGTCTTCATGATGGTCAAAGCCGTCACCGTTGCCCCCTGTCGCAGTCTGCAAACTTCCCGAAGCAGGGATGCCTGTCTTCCCTCTGACAGGGTGGCACGTAGTCTGCCTGCATCGAGCAAAATCCCCAGATACTCCACCTGCTGGTGCCTGATAGAGTCCAGTAGAGGATTCCACCTGCTGGTGAGGTATGGGACTGCTCTTCTTCCAATTGACTGCAAAACCCAACTTGGTTAGATGTAGGATCAATTGGGCTGTGTGGAACATTGCCCGTTCCCTGGACCTGGCCATGACTATGAGGTCGTCCAGATAAAAGAAAACCCTCATCCCATGGTCGCGAAGCGGCTGAAGCGCTGTGGCCACACATTTGCTGAACGTGCGTGGGGATAGGGAGTAGCCGAACGGTAGTCTGTTGTACTCGTAGGCTATCCCCTGGAAGGCAAGACGCAAATACTTTCTGTGCTTTGGAGCAATTTCGACATGAAAGTAAGCGTCCTTCAGGTCGATGGTGGTGAACCAATCGCCCGGCTGCACTAGTTCCAGTAATTGTTTTATGGTTAACATATGGAACTTTTTGCAGGCAATGTGCTGATTCAGGCTGCGAAGATCCAGAATGGGTCTGAATTTTCTTGTCTTCTTGGGAACCAGGAAGTACATGGAGTAAAGCCCCTTTTCTCTGTCCTGAGAGTTCACAACAGACACAGCCTGTTTTTGTAACAGGGCCTGAATTTCTGTTGAAAGGAAACCTATCTCCTCCTGGGATGATAGATTTGCCTCTCTTACACCCCTGAATGGAGGACGGACGCTGCAGAACCCAATCGCAGTATCCTGTCCACCCATTCTGTCAGTAAACAGCTGAGCTTCCATTCCCCATAAAACTGTGTTTTAGGGGACATGCAAGGAGCTGTGGAGCTGCAGCTAAGAAGCTGTGGTACTCTCTGGTGGCCCTCTCCTCCGCCAAACCTTCCATGAAAGGAAGATTGGCTTATGGGGAACCGACATTAAAAAGGGCCTATTTTCTGCAGAGGTCTTTGAATGCACCGCGGGGCTGCGCGCCTTCGTGTTAACGCTGTGTTTCACATTAACGCAGCGTCCACACGGCAGCGTGCGTTGAAGCTTGCCAGCGGGCGTGTCTGAAACTCGACCAACAACCAATCGCATTAATCTCCCGCCCCGGACACACAAGCACACGGTTTGATTGGCATATGATTTGATTGGCTGACGCTTCCGTCGAAGCTTCAAAAGTTTAACTTTACTCAACTTTTGAAGCGAGCAACTCGAGCAAAGCGAAGCGACGGAACCACAATGCAGTTCGGCAAAGCGTGACGTCACCCCATTCAAAGTGAATGGGAAGAAGCGTTGAAGCTTCAACGCACGCCGCCGTGTGGATGGGCCGTAATGGTGAAATGCATTAATCGGAGCTATTATACCAGGCGCGGTGTGTTTTCTGACAACAACATGCCGGCTATAGCGTCTCTGAACCCGCACAGTACTTTGACAGCACTTTCTGCGGTTTATTCCACTCACATGCGAGCGCCCACCTGCTGCTTCCTTTACTGGAGTTACAGCGGGGCGGCGAGTGTGGGACAGTGTTCTCTCCTCTGAGGATGAGCAAGAAGCAGCATACGGCCAAGCTGCGACTTCTCCTCATCCACGTGACCGAGGAAATCGATCCAAAAGCCCTTCCGTAGACACGGGGGCTCCCAGGAGATCATCACGGTCTTTTTTTGGAAAGTGCCACGCGGCGTGATCCCACTGTGGCCAGGGACATCACACGGCAAGCAGCGGCGCCCACACCGTGAACCAGGATATTAATTTACCAAATAATCGCTCTGATCCGGTGAGGTGGGGGCATCTTGCGGAAGAGCAATCAGCGAGACGCCCAACACACCCGTGTTATTGCAGCCGCCCTGTCACGCGGCAGCGGGGCAGAGGTTCTCCGCCCAGCCTGCTGCCTGTGGGAGCAGATGGGCTGCCAGGCTCTCATCAAGGGGGGGCACGCCGGGACATGCTGTGTCCGTGCGGCCCTGCACCCTGAGGCGGTAGCCCTACACGCTCCGCCGCCATGGTCATCACCAGGGGAAAGTCCTGGCGGACAGACCTGGGCAGTGGACTTCCATGGACACCGGACCCGGAAGTGCCCGACAACAAGAAGTCCTCGTCATCCTCCTCCCCGGCAAACGGAGCCATCCGCCCCGCTGGAATGGCGAACGTGAATGGCACCGCCTCGGCCATATCCTGGTCCCCCAAACACTCAAAGCAGAGGTGGTGGGGATCGCCGCCCGCTATTAAGCCAGGGCACGGAGGACAGGCCCGGGTCTCTAGAAGTGGCGACTCCATGAAGGTATGATAACTTCTTTCTTCTTCTGTCAAACGTTTTACTTTTCTCTGTCAGGTGTTGGCCTGCTCGCTGAAGAGAAAGGGATGACAGTCAGCAGGTGTAGCTGCCTTATATGCGCGCGCATTCAGGTAGGCTCGCCCTGATTGGCCGGCTACGTTTATACAACTTCAGTGTGTGAACGCTCGCGTATCATTGATGAGAGTAGTACCCATAGAGTCCACTAGAGGGCGGAGCCTGTGTGAGATAGAACCAAAAGCTCGGGCGAGAGGGAGATTCTCTTGCACACATTGCCTGAAACGCATCTATTAGACTCCTATGTTTACTTCTGTAACATAGTGACATCACTGTGTAATACTTGAGCTTCTTTTGGCTAGCGCTCCAACACATTGTACGTGATAGGCTATGGGGCAGGCTCAGGCGGCATGAGAAAAATAAAGCACTTTTTTTTTAAATGTAGGCATGTAAGCCTGTCACAGGTACAATATACAAATATGAACCTGAAAATGAGCAGAATATGTCCTCTAACAGTTTGCAAATAGTACTCTGTGGCTGTTTTCCTCTTCGATGGGACTTTTGTCTAGGTGCTCAAAAGGGGATGGCGAGTGTAAAATCAGGGCTGAGTTTAAACTAGGCTTTACCATAAATATTTCAACTGTAACACGTTTTTCTACTACATAACCTAAAACCATCCTTATGCCCTTATGTGAAACATGGAGTTACGATTAGTTTCGTCCCAGAAAATGTGGATCCACAAACTGACATAATGGTAGATTTAGAGAAAGTAGTCCCTTACACTTGAGATCTTCCCTTCAGAAAGCTGTGGCCATCACTGACACTTCACCAATATGTCATGCAGTCTATGTCCTCCATAATAAAACATATGACAGAGTGTATGACTTACTGTCTAAGGATGGCGGTGTTGTGCCCAGTGGAGTTGTAGGTGTGGTTGGAGTGGGGGTGGTGGGTGTGGTTGGGATGTCCATCTCAGGGTGGCTCTGTTGATAGACCAAAACAAATGTGTTGATGTCATTAATAGAGAACAGCTGTCCCTTGTGTCCCATAATGTTCAGGAGAATACAACAGTATAGACTGGAGAGGAGATTCAAACACAAACTGAGAGAAGAGAGCCTGGAAGAGTTTACCTCTGATTTTCCAAAAGAATGTAATGGAAACACATTAATCATAGCTTCTAAGGAGATTTGTATTTAATTGCAGTACTGTTAAGAGCATCACAGTGGCTTAATGGCCTTAGAATGGAAGTTATTCCGGAGACGTGTGAGGCTTCTTAACTGCATCCTCACTATTCAGTAAGTTTCTTAAGATGGCTGAAAGAGTGAATTTGAGTGTCTCCACAGGGATTAATAAAAGAAACAAAAAGTCAACTTATTTGAAGGAATATGTTCCAATCGCAGGTTAACATCACTGGTACATTAATACAATATTTGTTATTCCTCTCTTCTGACCACTGCCTTCTATTTTTTTACGATCATCAGAAGATTAGACATTTGCAATTATTCATAGAGAAAAATAAGAAATGTGGATTCAGGAAAAGCTTTAAGAAATGTTTTAAAGCCCAACCTAAAGTTTGCCAAATTATACAAAATCCCTGATTCTGTCACGAAATTGTGTGTTTAGTTATTGCGAGTGATGAAACTTGACTCATTTTGGTTCTTAGGCTATGCAGACCCTTGTGCAGGGTATATATGTACACTGTGATGATAAGTGCATCTTACCTGTGCCAATACAGTGATGAAGTTGCGGTTGAGGTGCACAGCCTCATAGAGAGCCAGCAGAATCGCCTCATTGGTCCTTGAGAGGAAAGGGAAGTTATAAGTCAGCTCATTCATTTATGAAGTAAGATCTCCAAAACATCACATGACATTAGACTGGGTAGGAAAAAGCCTCAGGCTTTGATCCAGCGAAGCTCAAGAGGAGTTAAAGTTTTATCAACAATGACTTCATGGCTCACCAGGTAACCCTTTTTAAGTATCTGTACCATTAACTAAGGCACAATGTGTGTAATTACTGGTACATTTATATTATATTTTTTTGATTTTGATAAATGACTTGACAGTTCCCTAAACCTTCTTTATCAATTGGCTCCAATTTGGGCAACAAAACACAAGTTACTCTGTTTTCATATTTTCTTATCCAGACACATGTTCATGATCAACATATGTAAATGTAGACCCCGACTAATGATGAAGTTGTGCCTTAAACCAATTATATTTGAGCCTGTGCTGTAGCAGTTAAAGCTTTAAAGTGGACCTATCATGCTATATTTGAATAATATAGTGTACGGCCATACCTATATAAGGCATATTTATACTTTTTTTTTTTCAAAATACCAAACAGATCATGCATTTTAGCCATGCCTCATTTCACTCAATTTGACATTTTTTAGCTCTGTTTTTGCAAGGGTTGATTCTGTGAGCAACAGCACCATCTAGAGGCCTGGCATATGTACTACAGCGTCTCCAGCACATTCGAACGGCAATAGCCGTAGCGCCACCGTCCTGACGTCAGGACAGTGTTCAAATCTGGATCAGTTTTTATCAGATCCGTTGCAGCCCCTTTTTTAGAGATTTAGGTATGGAAGAAAATAGAGAGGGTTGTGTTGTCTGACACTTGGTGAGTTCCCTGGAACACCGGGGACACATATTCATGTATAAAAGACGTACAAAAGTGCATTTTGCATGATAGGTCCCCTTTAAAGTATGGGTCAAAAACAAGATTCAGATTCAAGTGAAATAAAGAGGACAAGCCAAAAACACTGCAGCTGCAACAATGCATAAAGGTTTGTGTAACTTCAACCGTATACTTTTGACTTACTGTACAGAGAGTTTCTCATCTGCGTCGGCTATAAACATGCTGCCCACCTGCGGAGAGAAGAAGGCAAACTGTTAAAAAACGAATAAAAACCAAAAAGATGAAAAAGCAATCTATCTAAAATAAATCAACGTTAAATATGTTGAGAATATGATCTTACCATACTAGTCAGGGTGGAGAAGAACCCACCCTGGTTCTCCTCCTCCTTGTCTTTGTACTGCCTAAAAAGGGGAACGAAAGACAAAGACAGGAAGTCATGAGAAAGTGGAGACAATGACAAATAAATACAGGTAGGGCTACACAACAGCAGAGATATATGATTTAACTCAAACACAGCATAACACACAGTCACCCAACATCTCCTTCTTCTCCCCACAGCCTATTATCTAAGGGACATTCACTTAAAAACAATGCACTGTGTGGAGCCGTCATCCATCACTTTGATTCGCCTGTCAGTGCACGCAGGCAGACGAGACTTCCTTCACAAACAGCATTTTAATTTCCAGACTTCGCCTCATCCAAAAAACATTACCGGAGACTGCCAAAGAAAACTGTCAGATATAAATAACTGTTTCTTTTTTTTTCTTACAGGAGAATAGAAATAGAACATTTGTGCGAGACATCAAAATAAACCGATGACGCCAGTGGCCTCGGCACAGAACGGCCTGCATCGTTAAAAATGTTTTTGACACATATTTTAGATCTCACCTGTTATATTCTGTCAGAGCGTGGTGGACCACCATACCCATTCCCTGGGAAAGAAAACATCAGGTGTTTCAGTCAAACCTTTGATTATATACTTGAGGTAAAACTTCTACTACTACTACTACTACTGGTTACTATGCGTTAAGAAGGGACAGTTGGTGACAGCATACTTACATCCAGTGTTGGCTCATCGTCCACAATGGAGAGCTTCACGATGTATGGATTCACAGACTGAAAAATGAATAGAAACAATTACATTTAAAAATGTTTAAAATGTGACACAAATATTAATACTGCATTGACAATAGGGCTTTTTATTTTTCATTTTATCGCCTCATCTACAGATAGGCTTAAAAAGTGCCTCTTACGCTCAGTAAAGCAACGACAACATACATGGAGCTCAGTTTTCTTTGAAACAAACAGGGTAGATAAGCCTGTGTGATACCGGATTGTAAAACGGCTACATTTGTACTAGTTAGACTTACCTAAATACCTCAACTGCCGACCGTTTGCAGGCATATTTTACCCCATCTCAAACATTTTTGAGTACATATTTTCCTAGAGTATATGCTCTTTGTGCAGCTGCTTTGGTTGCTTACATACGAGGCTGCATCCAACACTCCTCATCCTCTTAATCCCCCCGTACACTGGCGCTCTTATCCTTTCTAGGAAATAACTGGAGAGGGACGTAGATTGGAAGTCATTTAATTTCAGAGAGCATGATTGCTTCTCTGTAATTCAAATGTAGGACAAGTGTGTCTGTAATACCTGACATAACCAAGGTCAAATGCTCATGTGGAGCCAAATACAAATGTACTTTCAGCTGCACAAACATCCTTGTTGATGCGTTCATGGTTGAGCTCGTTTCCTCAGGAGATTTTACAACTCTGAGCTTTGCATCATTTCCTTTGTAAAACTATAATTTAAAAAAATAATTACTTTCTATTCCCTCAAGGGACAAGTTAGTAGTTAGAGTAATATATTATTTCATTTTCAGGGTATTTGGTTAATGGTAAGGTGTTTGTTTCAGCTGTATAATACATAAACTCCATCCAATTCCAGATGTGTTAGTGAGATATATTTAAATACTTTCTTTTTAATCTGTGCGCCCGTATTCACAAGCTTCTGACAGCTTAAAGGGATGTTCCATTTCAGATATCTCAATTACGTCTTATGAGTATACTTGTATTTGTATCTGTTTGTGAATAAGATGAATTTAACTGAATCCTGTATTAAAAGAGACTTCTAGAGTTGCTTGTATTGGACATTTAAAGTTCCAGAGCATATGTACACACCTCATATTTCCTGTAGTTGACCAGCAGGGCCAGGAGGACCACAGCGTCATAACCATGCTGCCCTCTACTGGACACATCTGACAGAATCTGCAAGTAGAACAGAGATTACCAATTCAGAAGGAGAGAAACAGTTTAAAATAAATAAATAAAAATCTCCAATGTATGCTGCACATATTTTTTACTAAACACTTACCTGTAGAATGGCTTCAAAGATGCTGTTGATCATCACATATTCCAGTATAGTGTTCTGACTAATATTGTCTGTTACCTGTTAACGCATAATTCACATATAAGTGATATTCAATATGTTTTTAACGGCACAAAAAGCATGACCTTTTGCTCTATGATTAATCGTGCTGTTTTGATGTTACTCACCGTCACCAGACACAGCAGCAGTTTGAGACAAAGGCTCTTCAGACTCTCTGAGCCTTCTCCACAAAGAAGGCTGTCCAGTCTCTCCATCAGGTCCTACAGGAAAAACATACAACATGAATGAACGTGAATCATATATTTTATTCCTTTGTTTCACCTCTCAAGGTATTTTCCCCCACACACCTTCATCCTCTGCTCAGCTTTGTCGAAGCCCATGAGCATGTTGATGATGTCGAAGCCAGACGCAGACTTGTTCTTCTGGTGAACCCCTCGAAAAAGTGCACAGAGGGTCTGGGAAGAAAGGCAGAGGAGCATTTCAAGAAGAGTGAAAAATGTCATATGTTTCATGGAATAATAACAGTTATATGCTCATCAGCATACTAGCTTTCTGGGTCTGTTAGATCAAATTAGTGCCTGTAAACTAGTCCGAGAAGATTTACATTTTCCAGACTAACTAGAAATTCCGTCAAATATTACCTGTGTTTATTATTGAGCCTTTAAACAATCTATAAAAAGGATATAAAGAAAAATATATATACATTACAATATATATATATTCCCTCAGCTTAAGGCCAATATCTTCTCATATGAAATGCTGTTTTTTAATTAAAAAAAATACATGTAGGCCTGCCTGGCTCATAACATTGTAATCAAATTTTGCTGATGCCGACTTGAAATCAAGTGTTGATTTGATCCCGTTTAGCAAAAAGATTCAGATCTGTCTGATTGACAGATTATTCTGGTCAAAGTCTGGTAAATGCCGGCTAACGGAAACCGTGTGTTATACTTCAGGTGCTACTGATGAGATGGAGACATGTGCAATGTAACCTGCTGTCCAGGTGGTCCTCCTGAGCTTTAGTTACCTGCAGGGCATTGACTACTTTGATCTGGTGCTCCTCTCCCAGAGCCTGGACACAGTGGTGGAACAGAGAGTTGATGTTATCCTGGATCTTCTGAACTTCCTCCCCATCGACAGTCTCCAACTTGGTCTCCAGGTACTCCAGGTTCACCTTAAACATGGTGGAAGGACAAAAGACATGTTAAAGGTGGGGTAGGTAATTTTGGAGAAACCGGCTCGAGATCGCTAGAATTTGAAAATACACAGCCGGAACAAATCTGCCACTTCCTTACAGAGCCCCTCCTCCAACACACACGAACGCACACATGACCAATGAGGGCACGAGATAAGTTTGTGCACACATGGAAGGCTGACAGGCAGGTAGGCCATCCAGTTATTTTAGCCGGGCCAGCTAAAATGACTGGTTGTGCTTTTTACAGTACTACGGCTTCCACAGATGACATTTTTTTATGGATTTTTTGTCAAAGCACTTAAGATATTCATTGCTATCGGGATGTTAAGAGCATTCCATGGAATATAACAAAAAGTGTATCTCGAGCCGGTTTCTCAAACTTACCTACCCCACCTTTAAAGTGAGGAAAAGTGGTTTTTCGGAGCAAAAGAAGGAATATTGTAAACACATACGAGTGGTGGATTATTGGGTGACAGTTCCATAGTCTACTTTGTATAAATTGAGTACTAATCTGTGCAGCACTTTTTCTAGTTTGGGCACTTCACAACCTTCTTTTTTCTACATATATTGTGTGTCTTTTCAGACATCAGGGCACAAAATGACCACCCAAATGCTTGTATGATAGGCTAGTAAACGTGCATTACTCACCATCAAAAATACAATGATTATCTATTATTGGATGGTTACATTTTGACAGTTACTAGCCATTTGGTGGGTGTCATTTTTCTTGCCATCTAGTTTTTGACAAGGTAACATTTACATGTTTCCCACATAATATCAACAGCACTCCGGTATTTTTGGCACACAGGAACCTCCTATTAATGTTTAAACGTGTTTAGGTACATATTATAATTTTCGATTTTTCATTTTCCTTCGTGTTGCATACATATTTTCTACTGCTTCAATTTTGACAGTCTTTTATTTTGAAAGCGGATTACTGATATCTCATTTAGCTTTACTGCTTGCACACTTGGTCATCAACACAAACAACAGTACATACTGTATATGCACTCAACAAGATGTTGAATATTTCTTATATTTACTTTACCTTCATAAGAAACAGCTCATCCCAGAACCGTGGGTTGTTCTTGGCTGGGTCCTCTTTCTAAATCAAAGAAACAGAGAGGGCGATTGTTTACATTTGAAATGTCTTTTTTCTCTGTTGTTCATTTCTTTCAATCACTGATACTCTCCTTTTTTAAATACTTACAGCAAAAATCTCATCATACATCAGCACCACCTTCTCTTTCAAGGGTTTCTTAGAGGACGACGTCCTCCTCAGCAGCCCAGCCTTCTTCTCCACCTGAGACATGACTGAGTCTGAGGAAAGAGACACAACGAGGTAGATGAGGATGCAGACCCGAACTATGTAAAAAAGCTATGGCGTAAATCAACAAGATGTCTTCTCTTGGATAGATTCATTAAAGGATAAGGTAAACAATGCTCTATATTTTTGTCACACCCAACAAAGCGCATGAAAATACCAAAACCAACAATACGTCTGTTGGTTTGTCTTAGTACGGAATAATATAAAGTCCACTAAGATATATAACACACTTGGTAGTGAGATCAATTCATTGACAGTTGCTTACTCTTAAACAGTACTCCAGTTTGCAGCCTAATGTTTTCAGCAACAGATTGTCACTTTATTCATTACTGCTCTGTAAAGGAATACGTTTATCTTCCATTTTACTATGATCTTTTTTGGAGAGTTATTGTTACTAGATTTTATTCATTATAGACTGTGGACGTCAACAATGTCATTCAAAGTGACACACCGGTAAGATACGGTGTATGACTAGTATTAGCAAATGGAGGTAAACGTTTTGGCTAGGTAAACACAGTAACCTAATGTTTAAATAACAAGGGTGGCAATATTGGGTTAGATAAAACATTTTGTGTTGACATTTGCTCAAATTGATGACACATGATACAACAGTTAACTATCCTTAAAGCAAGTAGGGATGGGCTGCTAGCTAGTTAGCTAATAATTGCTAACTGACACATCGTTAGTAAGCCGGTTTGAATAGTAAACCACTAACAGAAACGTGTTTAAGTTAAAAAGCATGAGTTGTTGTCCACTCGACACATGTGAAGAGCAGCTGGTTTATTAGCAGCTACATCACCAAACGAAAGTCTGCTAATATGTTTATATTCTCGCAGCTAAAGCTAACGCTACCCATTGCTAGCTAAGTTAATGCCTGGCAGACCAGGGTTGTAACATGTAATGTCAGGGTGCTATTGTTGACAACATCACTATGAACATGGCTTCATTAGGAGCGTGGTTTGTTCTTACCTCAATCCAAGTAATACAATTAAAAAAGGTAGTTCATGAATCCCTGTGACAACACTTGTCTCTCTGCTAGCATACTGATGCTAACATTAGCATCCTGCTGCTGGTCTTCATGGTCCTAGTGCCCCACAGTAACTTCTCCTGTAATGTTTACTGAGTGCCCTGTTTAGTGAGTTTAATAATTGCCCAACAATGACATTATTGGATTATATAATGCCATTGGGGTCATTCACACCTCACATGCATGGGCACTAAATCAATTAACACGTACAAATATGTAGTAAAATAATTGCTTAGGTCTTAAGAGAAAGGAAAGCATTAAAGGGCAAGTAGCTGCAAATTGTAGACAAGCCATTATCATCAATTAATGAATTATTTATTTCGTCAAGAAATTAAATGTTAATTTATGAAAAGATGTTGTTATAAAAATGTTTAGACTTATATTATGAAGACTCTTTAAATGGGTTATATTTGTCTTAAGGCCATAGATACAGCACTGTATCTCCTCTGACAGTCTGATCATCAGTAAGTGCTTCTGTGTTTAATCATAAGAAGAGGGTATACCTCTATATGACATTTGTATCTCTATGGAAAAACAGACTTTGAGTGATCAGACTTTGTTTTATCAGTGAACAGACTGGCATTGAAAGAAGATTGTTTTGTCTTTGTATATGGCCTGTGGCTGTTTGTAAAGTGCTTTGAACTCTGCATACCCATTAAAAGTGGTGATTAAAAGAAGTCTGATTCAAGCAGAATAGAGTTTAGGATAAAAAAAAAAAAGAATTGAAAGAGTGACAAGCCATCTGTGAGATAATGAAAGCATGCAATGATTAGTTTATCCTAGATGTAATCAGCAGGGCAGAACATGGTGTGAAGACATGATTTACAGAGGAGCTGCTTAAAAGAGAACTGAGATTTATGTTTGAACTGCTCACTTCCTTACATTTACGCCCCCAAGTTTCACAATCTTATGTATTGACCTCTATGGTATTGACTTTAAAAAAAATGACAGCGCTGCCCTTCATCTCAGGCATTCATATGTGCACTAATCTACGGAGCCCATAGGGGACATGGAGAAGAAAAAAATGTTTTTGCGAGATCTCGCAAACGTTTTTTACTTTGAGCTTGGCCTTAAAAATAAAGATATAACATCAGTGCTTGGTATTAAGCACGGGTTTCACATAAGTGAAATACACCTCAAGAGAACACTCAGAGCGAGGGGACATGCACGTCGCAAAGCATAGCCTACTCTGAGCTGAGTTATTGACAGATTCGAATTTCGCGGATCAATAACTCATGAACATAACGTTGTAAAAATACAAACAACATGACTTTACAATCATAGCAAGGTAGACAACGAGCTACAGAGTCGTTTTTATCAGAACAGTTCGATACGCGCCGTCATCCGAGCTAAACATCAAGGATTGGTCACAATCTGCAACATTTTTTTTTTTTTCAAATAATTTTGTTTTCTTCTCCATGTCCCCTAGGCAGGGGGCTCCGTACTAATCAGTGTTTTAATGGCATTTTTACATGACTTCGTCCTAATCAACCACACAGAGAAAATTAGTCAGATGCAAAAAAACTGCTTTTTAACTACAGTGGGTTGTTGATTTACATTTATCAACATTTGTGAATGAGAGTAAAGGCAGAATTCTGTTGTAGACCTGTTTTTCTGCTCCGGGTAAATAAATTGAACAGTTTTGTCTCCAATTTAGAGCAACAGTTCATACCTCTGTGTTGTGACCCCATGGGTTCCATGGTCAATTAACTTCACCATCAAGGTACTATATTTCTGGTAAAGACTACATGGAGCGCCTCAATTTCCAGACTAAATGAGACGAGTTTCGCTTTTTACCGCGTCATTAGACAGAGGAGATGAGGCAAGAGATAGGAAAGAAAATCAGAATATAATGAGAGAGCGTTAGAAGAGAAAACATCAGAACATTAACTGACACAAATGGAGGGAGGGAGACAAAGTTAAACGGTAACTGTTTGAACACATTGTTTTCTAACTTTTTTGTAGTTTGAAAGTTTGCTTGTAGTAAGGATTTTTTGGCCAGAAGCTCTTAGTCACGATAACACCACGTTTAATATAGTGACCCCTGATAGAAACCAGTGTGAAATCTGAGAAAACACTTGGCCTATCTCAAGCGGTACCACTACCAACATCAGAAGGAGATTCCTGTGCAAAGACATTCCTCTATAAAATCCTAATCCAGTTTATCCGGATGTGCACTAAACCTTTAGACTTGCAGTCGCCAGCTTTCTTGTAACATCCAGGGGAGCAATCCTAAATGTTAGATTACATTCTCTATACATCCTTGGTTAATTGTTGTTGAATGTTGTGGTCTTAAAGGACCAGAGTGGCGAATTAAGGGGTATTTATTGTCTGAGATCAAATATTATATTTATAACTATGTTTTCAATAGTGTGTAACCTTCTCGAATTAAGAATCCTGTTTTTGTTACATTATAATGAGCCTTCTTATCTATACTCAGAGTCCGCCATTTCTCACAGCCATGTTTCTATGCCATGTTACACTGATAGTTATGCGCCATGTTTTGGTAGCCTAGCATGGAAAAAACGAACTGAATCTAAAGAGGAACTTTCATAATTGTATGTTAAGTTGAAACTTGGATGTGGTGGCAAGAATGCAACTAAGGCCACTGTATGGTCTCCTACACTCTGGGAAAGGGTGGGATGGGTGCATTCAGGTGGCTGCAATCTGCCACCTCACCACTAGAGGCCACTCAATCCTAAACACTGGACCTTCAAGTAAATATGCTTTGTTTTGAGAGAGTAAGTTATGTTTCATATTTTAACACCAGTTATGTTAAGTGAGTTATCATAAAGAAGACTTACATCTGTAAATATATTTCTCCCTCTATGTGCATAACAGTATGATTTATGTGTTTAACACAAACTCACAGACATAGAGATCAGTTGCATTATAAATTTGCTTTCTTTTCCTTCTTTGCTATCACTGCAGTGGTATATTTTAGAAAATATCATCAATAAATGTGCTGTGTTATCTACATCTTACCTTTACACTAAATCAAATACTTTCGAATATTATAGACATAGTTATCATTTTCTATTTCAGCATTGAATTTGTGAGATTTGTCAGAAATGTTTCTTAGAACAATGAAGAATTGCCTGTAGTTGATGCAAAACATTAACAGTTTTATCTTGGAAACATGAAAGACAGACAGTCTGAGAGTCTGCATGTGTCAAATGACTCAACACATAATATATGACTAATTAACATGATTCATCATAGGACAACAAGGTCATGTCATAATGCAGCTCTCGAATAATGGACTTTTGTACCAGGACAGTGTGAAGTGTGTTTGTTTGAAGTGTCAAAGGGCACTCATAATGGGATTCTTTGGGAAATATACAGAGCAAAGATCGAACAAGGAAGTCCTGATAATGCGAGGAAAGCAACTTGACCCAGATCATGAACATATATGAAGTACATGCTCATACTTCTGTGCCTTTTTTGGACCCACAAATATTTCAGAATCAGGTGTCGTAACAACCGCAGTGAGGACAAAAAACGGTCTGCTCTTCCATGGAGGTGAGAGTTTTCATGGGAGTGTTACTGCTTTACTTTAACTCCAGGAGACCCTCAGTGTTTCAGCTGGCTGCACTGACTGCCTTTACAGCTCTGCAGGTGCAGTGTGACACAGGGAGTGGAATACATGCCTGAAGAGAACGTGTGATAGTTGGCAGGAGGATGTGTGTGTGAGGCAGGCTGCTGTGGAAGACAGCGGCTGAGACCTAGAGAGAGGCTGTGGCCATTAGCTAGTCACTTTCCTGCCTGTAAACAGGAGAGGGAAACAAACACAATACTTTAAGCTTTACATGCAGACAGGAAAAATAAGGGTTGGCAAGTATTGATTTTGACTAATCTTGCTACGCACATTGATGTCCACTTTCTGTGACAGAAACAAAGCAGAGGCAGAAAGTCACTATTTGACTAGTTACTTTACAGATTCAGATTATTAGCTAAAACCAAATATAAGTAAACTAATAAATAAACTATGATATATAATTATAGGTTACGATGTCCAGCAGTAGTATATAAAGTAATTAAATGTAGCTCTATCTTCACCTGCTGTAATGAACACACTAATGCATCAAAACTAATCCAGTAACTCCTGTATTGTTTCTACTTTTACTTAAGTAAAATGTCTAAGTACTTCTTACACCTCTGCCCACAACTATGTTGTGCATATGACAATAAAGCCTCTGAATTTGAATCTAATGCATTACTTACACTTAATTTTCACAATAGGAAGGGGCTTATTTTTCCTTAAACACAGCATTGTAATTGTAAAGTGAAGACTTGCAGTATAAAAAGTGAATGTGAGAATGTGATCCACAGGTAAGGCCTTGCAGCACTCAACAACGATTGTGTCCTTGGGGAATTTTCCTTCCTTCAGTTTTTATTCAAGCTCTCCATTTTAGGACTGATGTGGAGATCAAGTTGAATAAAGTTAGATCCTTAAGGAAGAGATTTGGGGAGCTGCGAGATACCCATCAGCACAGGGTGAAGCTGGTGTGATCAGAGCTAAACTCCAGGTTCCAACAGACAGACTGCAGAGGGACGGGGCTACACAGAGGAGGGGTTTGTTTCAGCCAGAAAAGTCATGTGCTGCAGTCAGTCAGAAAAAAAACACCTAAAGCTCCATTTCTAACCCTAACCCTTCTTCATTCTGATCACGTCAATGTCAGTTCGCTCATAACAGAGTTGTTTTCTGCAGCTCTGAAAAGTATAACCCTTGATGATTAAGAAAACTTCTGATGTTTTTAAAGGGGTAGGTTGTTCTGCAGTGTCGGGGTGTAGTGTGAAACACATCGGCAAAAACCTATCATGATAAACCACAGAATGTGATCATGGGGTTTGTAGGCTCCTGTGGTGTTGTGAGCTAATAGGCCGATTGCTTCAACTTCTTTCACCACTTTTGTGACCACTTCCTCACACTTACATATCTCCTAAATAGAAAACCTACTTGTAATAGTTAGGTCAATGTTGTGTCAGACCTTCATATTAAAGTTTAGAGGGCAGGTCCATCATTTTTTAAAGGTTTTTATAACATTATGCAAGAACCCTGTGGTGTTCC